ATTAGAAAAAATAATATCGCAATATTTGGAATTGAAGTGAAAAAAAAAACACTGTTTATCATCTTGGCTACCTGGCTGGGGTGAGATGGATGAAGATATTATTCATCTATTAATGGAGGACATTCGAGCCTCATTCGACAGAGTGTCGGAGCCTTCTATATCGGGAGGGGTCGTCTACAGTGTAATCTATAGCTTTCCTGACTAAAGGATTATCGCGAGTTTCCGCGCAACCAATAACTCGCCGGAGCATTCATAATTATCCGTAGTATATTGTTTTGTAAAGACTCCAAGATGGAGATGTTGGACGGAGCTGCTTATCAGGCCAAACACAATTAATTTATGTAGAAGGCCTTCGTGCCAGACATGGTCGAAGGATTTCGAAATGTCTAAAAGGAATATATGAAGTTTTCTGTTTCGGTTCAGCTCCGCGATGGTATTTTCGACCAGTTCAGAGTCTGTAACTCAGTGGAGTGCTCTCTCCTGAAGCCAAATTGTTCATCAGGCAGAACATTTCGGTCCTCAACTTCTTCGTTGAGCCTTTGAAGAACGACTCTTTCAGCCAGCTCAGCCGCTGACGAAAGCAGACTAATCGGGCGATAGTTCTGCGGGAACAGCCGGTTCTGTCCCTGTTTTGGGAGCATGACAACGATCGCATGATTCCACCTTCTGGGGAAGTATCTGAGGGTCAGTGAGCTGTTTAGGATGGATAAAAGGTTCACAAGGCAGTTGTCCAGGAACCTCTTCAACAACTTGTTGGTTATTGAGTCGACTCCCGGGGCTTTCTTGACCTTTGCGGCCCTGATGTAACCCTCCAGTTCTTCCACAGAGGCTAGACGGATGTTATCATCGTCATCTTCCCTTAGGATACGGTGAACCAGAACTTCCAACAGAATGTCGCGGTCGATGTCGTCATTGTCGTCAACGTTAAGTTGAAACTGACGTTCCATCGTGTCGGCCAAAGGCCAACGCTTTGTCGGCGGGGAAGTAGCACACTCTGCGCTCTCCGTGAATGGGTGAGGGAGCAGTCTTCTTGCCTTTGAGTCTACGAGTGACTCGCCAAAGCTCGTCACCCCAAGTTCAAGGAATTTCAAGAGCTCCTCCCACCTTTCGTTTCGATGATCAATGATGGCCTGTTCAACTTGATTGGCCATCCTGCTTGCCGCAATTTTGTCTCCTGGGAAGAGGGTTCGCTGACAGAGCCTTCTCAGGCGATTTCTCTCTCGTATCAGGGCTTTGATAAGAGGGAAAACTCATTATAGCTCCTCAGCGGACACTCCTCCCTGGAGGTGGCTGCTCGAAATGCATCATTCACAGAAAGCTCGAAATGCACAACTGCCGCGTCGAGTTCGTTGGGAGAGCGAAAAGCCTCAGGAGGGGGGCGTATCTCTCCGAGCTGGGCTGTGAAGATATCCCAATCCGTCAAAGATCTCATGCGATAATTAGGGGAAGGAAGATTATCGCTCAGTACCAGGATTACTGGATTATGATCAGAATCCAGTTCCGACAGAACGTAAATTTCACTAGTCAGAGAGACGTTTCTGAGAAGGGCAATGTCCAGTAGGTCAGGCCTATTCCGCGATAGAACGTAGGTTCATCCGGTCCCAGCACAAGATATTCACGCTTGTCAGCATGCGCATAGAGCAGTTGGTCGTTTTGGTTGGTGGCTCTGCTCCATAGTCCGTGCTTAGCGTTAAAGTCACCAGCAGCAATTGTCGGAATGTCGCTTCCCATCAGCAGTTCATCTAGTGATTCTAGGAGTATAGGATTGTTCAGAGGGTTATAAACTGAGATTAGTCTGTGACAACCCCTGCTCAGTTGAATTTCGACACCCACGGCCTCAGTTCCGTGTAAGCGGACACGAAAAGAAAAACAATATTCTTAGCACCACCAGGTACTAAAAAACTCAGTTCGATTTTTGTGTGCAAACTCACACAATATTCATCTGATTGGAAACAAAAATACAGTTGTAATGGAATTCATCTCGTTTCTATATTTGATCAGCCAATTATTTGAAATGTACTGGCATTTCAATCACCAACGATCTACGTCCAGAAAATCGAAAATTAAATGAAATCTTAGACAAGCGTCTAACAGAGACAAGAGCAAAAAATTAAAATGCTCAAATGAAAAATCATGAATTATGCGTGAATGTTACACCATATTCTGCAGAAGCACTAAAAACCCATCTAAAGACGACATCCAGGTGGAAATTAAACATACCATAAAAACAACAGTGCTCCAGCCACTTCAACGATACGAAATAATCTACTAGACTCACCAGAAATTTTCAAAAATTACGACACTAACAGACAGGCCACCAAACGCAGACTGCAATTCCAAGAATTTCATTTACCGCATACCCTGTGAGTGCAGCAAATCCTACATCGGTGAAACTAAGAGGCCATTGAAAGTCCACATTGCCAAGCACAAGCAAATCGGAAATAGCAAAGCATGTTTCGACTCATCAACATAATATCAAGTGGTCCCAAGCTGAGATCATCCACAGGAAGGAATAGTGGTTTAAAAGGAAGTTCAAAGAAGCTCTATATATATATGCTCTCTAACGATGCATTCAGCCAAGCTAGCATAGATATACGCAACATATGGAAACCTTCAAACAAGTGGAAAACAGACCACTCCCCACGATGTGGGCAGTGATCATTGCTTGATAATGCTGGCGCGCCCTCCCGAGTGTATCTGGGACTTCGGGGGATAGGGCCTGACCAGCGCACATCACGGTGAAAAAAAATTAATGATAATACGGCACTCTTACGGTACTGACGAGACACCGGTGTTGCCCTACGCTCCGGGAGATATTGAATCCGTTGTGGGAAACGAGAAGTGCCAATTTCATTGAAACTTTTCGTTTCCCACCCTCAGTTTTTTTACCGGCTATTCAGGTATATATACTAACTGTTTCTTTTCCAAAAGCAACATCAATACAACCAACTAATTAAATGAACTCAAGGCTCCAATTTTGAATAAACATTTCAAAACATGCATTGTGATGATGAATAAAAAATTAACTAAATAACTCGTCCGGATTTATATTTTGCCATTTGATTCCACAGTGTCAATTATATTCTCAAAGATTTTTTTTTCGTTCTGGAGATAGTTTCATATTATTTTCAAAATAGTGGATGCGTCATATTTCCATTTTTGTATCTATTCATCACACCTATCCTGAAGAAGGTGATAAGTTTGCTGGAAGCTTCACAGCGTCTCCTTCTGCATGTAAAACTTTTGCTTCCTATTGTGTTTCAATTTTATTAATACATATAATAAAAATGTAACTGATTGCTGTTTGTATACGAGAGATGAAATAGAAACACTTTCATCAGATGTCTTCATTAACACATTATAAACCAAAATAATGATTAATTGAATTCATATTTGTTTTGTGTTCGTCTGTGTGATTTTGCGCGCTAATATGAAAAACAACTCAACTGAATTAGTGAATAGTGAAACCAACATTAACTATATCAATTATTTCATCTAGGTGCACCAGTTGGTACTATTATAACTATGCCTATAGTGGGATATATATCTTCAACTTCGCTTGGATGGCCATTCACATTTTACTTATACGGAGGTTTAGGATATGCTTGGGTTATTCTCTATGCAATTTTTGGTGCTAATAGTCCTCAGGATCATCGAAGTATAACAGAAGTTGAGAAGACATATATTGAAAATGGACTAGACCTGCATGGAAACAAGGTGAGTGACAGAAATACACACAGATACATCAAGATGCCTATAAAACATTCAACACACAACTTTTTTCAATACCATCCTAGAAAACTATTATATTGATGGATGAATTGAGTTTTTAATTGTTTCTGAAAAAATACAAATTAGTAGCTATATGCAGTGTTACACTTTAAAATAACATTTAAATTTATCCAACCTGTAATAAGTTGTAGATAGCGAAAGAACAATAAATATAAAACGAACGAGGATTCAGATTGAAATTTTGGGGAGGAGTAGTAATTTTTGAATTTCGGGAGCGGAAAATTTTCAGAAGGAAACATTTATATATAAAAGTATGTGCGTGTGAATATTACAATTATCATTTCAATTATAGTAACTTCTTGGAACAAACACTCTTCCCAAACACCAGAAATGCAACACTCTTCTCGAGTGGTTTCACCAACCAAGGTGAAGTCATCAGGAGATGATGACCAATTTATTTTGTAGAAATTCATATTGAAAATATGTTATCATATATTGAATAATCGAAGATTACATACAATTATTATAAAAAATCTGAAGGAACAGAATTCCTTCCAGCTCAACAACTTTTTCTACAAACGGTACGGCAATGGAAAACTCACTGTTCCCCTTTATAGCTGATCTGTTCATGATTGAATAAAGATTCGGATTGGATGCAAAGAAGAAGTTACATTATTTTCTATGGACTTGCATCAAATATGCAGGTTATATATTTGCGGTTTTCGGCACAAATGAATCTAAAATACAGGCCTTAATTTCAACTGTTTACAGATCTCCAAATGATCACAATTGAATTCGAAAACAACAAAGATACCAACCAAGATACCTTTCTTGGATTTCTCAGTGATTAGAAGTAACCAAGATCAAGTATTTGATGATCATATTGAGAATATCGAAGGAAGAGAAGGAGTATGAACGACGATCAACAGAAGAAATATATGAAACGCCAATGTGATAGAAGTTTCTGTATGAAATTTCATTTGGCGGGATGTTTTCATCACAAGGTTTTTTGTCCTGAGCACTGAGACCTTACTACTGAGCTATTATTGGCTGAGAGAGAACCGGTGTCCAGATGTGGTAACTGTAGTATGGTTGGGTTGATTGGAATAATCACATTTATTACTGATAGTCAATGTGTTTGTTTATTGTCATGATCAACATCACAAAACATCAGAACTGTCAGATGAAAAACTAAAATTATAAACATGGAACATGATACTACATTTCTCCCTACCAAAAACAAAACGAGTCATGATAACGAGCAGGCAGTTTTCGGTTCCGTGACAAGTTTCTTCTAGGCTCCAGAAAGATCGTCTGTTCTTCTTGAATGATATCGTCATTGGCTTGTACCTCTATCTTCACAGGTTGTGTCATGCTTTCTTTGGTCGAATCTTCATCTGGCAATGCATTAGAAACACATGACATAAAAGGTATTTCAGAATCCTTGCCATGTTCCTGTTTTTGTTCCACTTGGTTAGGTTGGTTCAAACGAGGTCTTAACTGATCTCCATGCTTCCTCTTTAGTGTTTACCTCAACGATATATGAATAAGGTCCAGTTTGATCCATTACTGTTCCTTGTGTGGATCCTTTACCTAGTGGATTATTCACCCAGACCGTCTGATTTGAATGAAATATCGAGTCCTTCGATCCACGATCATGAATTCGCTTATGATCAAGTTATGCCCTATCCATGTTTCGGAATAAGTCGAGTTTCAATTGGTCGAACAGATCACGTAAATGTCGTCCAAACATCAATTCGGTTGGAGCCCTGCCTGTTAAACGTTGTAAACGTTCATCTTGATTTTTCTCTTGTCCACTAGCTGATAAGCGATCTTTGAAAGTCTTTACTGCTCTTTCTGCTAAGTCCATTTGTCTTGGGGTGATCCGGTGTTGATCGAATATGTGTGATATCATAAGACTTGCAAAATAATCCAAATTCTTCAGAGGTTAACTGAGGACCATTATCCGACACAATTATTTTCGGATAACCTAATCTCGAAAACACTTCACGAAGCACGTTAATTGTTGATGACGTGGTGATGTTCTTCATCGAAAAGATCTCGAGCCAGCGTGTATAAGAATCTATTATGAATAGCCACATTTTTCCTTCGAAAGGTCCGGCGAAGTCTATATGCACTCGCGACCAGGGTTCCGAAAGAGCACTCCATGGATACAATGGAAGTTTATGATCATTTTGTTTAGATTCTTGACGAAAAGTACACGTTTTAATGAAACTCACGATGTCATTGTCCACGTTCGGCCAGTAGACAGGTAAACGTGCACTGGACTGCATGGCATGGCATGAAGCATCATCAATACCTCATGTCTAAGTTCTTCTGGAATACATATTCTTCCTTTCCAAAGAAGAATATTTTCCTCAAACGAAAGTTCCTCACGTTTCTCGAAGTATGGAAGAATTTCGTTAGGTAGTTGTCTTTTATTAGGTCAATATGATTGTATGCATCTTATAACTCTGATGAGAATAGCATCACTTGATGTTTTTGACTGCAAAACTCTCTTCGTGATAGGAAGTCTAAGATGCAAAAGTTGACTTCTTTTAGGAAGTCCAGATTCTTATAAAGGTGATGTTTTTGTATCAGGAAGTGATATTACCTAAAGCTTTCTTATCTATAGTAGAATATCGGGTTTCCGCATCACTCAACGTGCGTGTAGCATAAGCAATTGGTTTTAGTTGTTTATTAGGGAATTTGTGGAATGAAACTGATCCAATACCCTTCGAACTTGCATCACTTGTAACTACTACTGGCAATTCATGATTGAAATGTACCAGAGTATCTGATGAACTAAGAATATTCTTTAATTCATGGAATAATTTTTCATCATCAACTGTCCACTTGAATGTTGAGTTGTTTTTTAGGTGTCTGTATAATGGAATGCAAATAACATGTAGATTTGGCATAAAACGTCTATAATAAGTTATCCATCCCATGGTATATCCACTTATAGCTTCAAGGCGTTCTGATGTAGGATGTAATCCTTCTGCATCAATTTTGTGACTTAAAAATGTCACACAGCTTTGTAACCATTTACACTTCGATTGTTGTGTTCTAACTCCTGCTAACTGTAATCTTTCTGAAACTTGTCTCAATCGTACCATATGTAAATCCTCATTTGGTGCAGTTATCAAAATATCATCCAAATAGCACACTGTTCCATCAATATCTGCTAGGAGTTGATCCATTAAGTTTTGGAATACAGATGGTGCAAAATTTACCCCAGAAGGAAGTCGTTTATAGCGATAATAACCTTGGATTATTGATATAACTGAATATTTCCTTGAATCAGGATGAACTTGCAACTGAAGATATGCATCCTTCAGTTCGATTTTGGAAAAGTATCGGCCTCCGCTGAGTTTTGACATTATATCTTCGAAACGTTGACTTCTATATCCGATATGAAGGACGAAGTTAGTGTCCGATTTTCAAGTGGTTGTATTGTTTCTTTGTTTGTTCTTTCTTTAATTTGGCATAACTTGGCTCCTGGTGGAAGAGGTATGTTAAAAGCAAGACACCAATCGAGACCAAATAAAGGAATGTCGTTTGTTTCGGTTACGTAAAGAGATAGTATTTTTGGTTAACAATTGAAAAATTAAACTTTTACTTTTGCCTTCTCAAGAGTTTTGATTTCCATGTCTGTATACGCCACAAAGTTTTCAGTTTGTTTAAGAGACGGACTGTCAATCTGTTTCCACAGCTTTTTACCACACACGGAATATGCAGCCCCTGGATCATATAGCATCTCTAATTCTTTGCCATTTTTTTTTGTCAAGAGCATGATTTTGTTTGTGGAATATATGTTTCGTACATTTGTTGTATTAGTAGAACTATAACTATCACCACTTTCAATGTCGTTCTTCATTTCAGCGACATTACTGCTATCGTTACGTTCTAGAAGTTCTCGACTTGATCGTTTACAATCTGAATTTAATGCTTTAGTGTGCTTGACATCAAACTGTCCTGATAGTTGTTTCGACTGTAACGGAGCCTATTCCCAAATAAGTGATGTTGCTACAATTTCTTCCAGGGTGGCTGTATTATTTGGATGTAACCTAATTAATTCCTGTTACCATGCCATGACGTTTCTTCAAACTATCGGAAAATTTACAATTTCCTGCCAGTCCACGGAGAATGTTCATAAACTGGGTAATGGTTTCACTGTCCTTTCGATAACGGAGCGCAAATACTACCCTTTCATACAGAATATATTTTGTCTTACCATGATATTTGTTTAGTACGTTCACAATATTGTCAAAAGATCTTGTTGTCACTTCATCTGGCCTAAAATTATCAACCTGAATCTTAAAATGTTCAGGTCCCACCTTGCTAAAAAGCAAATTACTTTGTTTCACTTTAGTAGGCTCATCGTTTGTGTCCAGATCATGAAGTTGTAATTCCATTTTGAAACGTTGTATGTAATACTTCCAGCCCTCTTTTTCCAGAGAAAATCTTTCAAACTGGAAATATCTCAAGTATTCTGTATCAATTGACATGACACTTGAATGATACAGTTCAAATTATCTGGTTGGTTCAGCTTGTTGGCTGCTTGTGTTGAATGTTTTTGTCGTACTGTTTGATATGTTTATGTGTCTTCTAAACTCTCACTGGTTTATCATCGTCGCCATAAAATGTGGTATGGTTGGGTTGATTGCAATAATCACTTTTATTACTGATAGTCGATGTATTTGTTTATTGTCATAATCAACATCACAGAACATTAGAACTGTCAGATGAAAAACTAAAATTATAAATATGGAACATGATATACAGTAACCTATCATCTAAATCAAAAATATCCAATATTATCATTGTTGTACCTCATTCAATGTTATTCAAAGTTTCACAATAGTTCTGTTTTCGAAAAGGGGTTCAATGTTTTCCTACATATAATGAAGTTAACCTTGTTTATCAGGTAATATGAACTCGGTGATGTGATTTTCAATATCAATTTACTCGAAAGAAATATTCAAATAAAGCCGGAATTATATTATTGTGTCGTGGTGTGTTGTGATGCTCTCTGACGTGCCGGCGAGTGTGCAAACTATTCTGTCGTGTCGGGACGCGCTCTGGCGTTATTTCGAGTCAATACAGTGGTGGCCTTTGGAGTAAACGCATGCGAGCATCTACAATGTTTTATTCCAATTCGGATAGTGATATTGAAGAATATCTTGCGTGTCTGCAAATGTAAAGTTCACTTAAAAAGAAAAGAGAAAATATCGGGTTCATCCACAGTAAATGATCTGAGAGGTAATTGAAGCGAATATAATTTACTAGTGATGAAGAAAGATTTCATTAATATTTCAGGATGTCAAAAAATCAATTTGAGATATTACATTCCATGGTAGAAAATTATATTGAAAAAATGCAAACCCGTATTTTCTATCAAGTTCAATAAGTTCTTCCACTGCACTTCAGTAATATAATTCTAAGAATGGATACGATATACTTGTGGCGCGTCATGACACACCACGACACAATAATACAATTCCGGCTTAATATTTGTGTATGAGTTTTATCATAGTCCGTTAGTACAAATCATCAAATACTTTTTTTTTACTTTTCAACTGCTATTTTTTCTTAACCACTGACGACATTGAAAATGTCGATTGTTCAGACAACAGTGTACTCACTATTTTTGTTCTGAGTAGAAACATTTATGAAATAATGGCATTTGTAAAGTTTACTTTCAATAAAGTGAAAAACCAATTATTTGATACAATTACAATTTCAGCTATCGACGCCTTGGAAATCCATTCTCACTTCGTTACCAGTATGGGCAATTTTTTTTGTGCAAATAGGTTCCATTTGGGGTTACACAGTCCTTATTTCGGAAATACCGACTTATCTCAGTAAAGTTGCAAACTTCAACATTGAATCGGTGATTATTTCAATGCGAATATTCGATATCATACTCTCATAGAAACTCTTTTACAGAATGGATTATTATCAGCATCGCCTTACTGTTGTGCTTTCGTATTAGGATTCGTTTTCGCATTTTCATCAGATTATCTCATAAACAATGGCTTTATGATGAAAACTAGGATGAGAAAAATGGCAACAGCATTATGTAAGTATTCGCATATCACCACATCGAGCGTTCGGATAGAAATAAATTGATATAATAAATTGATATATAACAAACATAGTCGACTTGAAATCCAAAAAGAATGTCATTAATAATGCGTAGATCATCTAATAATAGTTCAAGTAATAAATTACTCTTCAACTATCATCCGTCCAGCTTGAAGATATCATTGAGGTTTGATTTTTATGCACAAATATCTCGATTAGTATTGAAAATATCTTAAGTATGAAAACATATTTTTTCAATTGATGGATAGCCGTCAGTCACTACGTGGTAAGGGATCATCATGAAAAATGACAAATAAAAATTTCTATTTCGACCAGTTATATTTGTAACTGAAGTTACTGCAATTTCATCCTGTACGGACGTTTTCAAACTTATACGTTAAACTGTTTGATGTTTGGTATTCTTAGAGTTTCTCAAGTTTATTGTTGAGAGGCTTCAAAACAGATCTTCGTTATAACATCAAATTTGTGCAATTATCACTTTTTCATAAATTATAAAAATGATTTTATTCTCCTGCTAACAAGACACTACAGGTCCTCTCTCAAAATGGAGGCTCTTTGTGGAGTTTCTCCAGAACAATCAGTAATTAATATTATTAACATTAATGGATAGGCGGGACAAACGAACCTCCAAAGACACCTGCCAAAAATCCGATAACTAGAATTTGAACAAACGAGAGTTCTAACACGGTTTTTTTGGCATGCGCCTTTTCCAGAAGTATCTGTAGTAAACCTGAATGTAAGCGAGTGTGTCGGAAGCAGTCACAGCTATTCAGAAGTCAGCAGATCAAATTCTCTCCACACCTCTCATTCCCTTCGGTGTCGTGATCATGCGTCTTGCTCTAGGGTAGTCTTCCTCAAAGTGGACGATAACGCCCCCTTTGGGGGCGCTAGATGCCTATAGGGGCAGTAAAGAGCACAGAGAAGATTGGGGGCGTTGAAGCGGTTTAGGGGGGCGATGGCTAATTAAAAAATGTTTTTTGCTTTCAAAACAAACTTTACCGATAGTTGTCAAACTGTACAATAGCTGGCGGAAAACTTCAATGCGAAGCAAGAAGTTTCCAGTCTCCATTCTCTGAAGGACCAGGTCCGCCCGCTGTCTCATATAGAAACGCGCGCGCCATCCAGCCAGTAATGTGTTTATTAGGGAAGCTATAGATTATGCTGTAGACGACCCCACCCGATATAGAAGGCATCGACACTCTGTCAAATGAGGCCCTTATATCCCCCGTTAACGAACGAATAAATTTTTCATCCAGGTAGGGGTACCCCGTAAAGGGCGGTACTGATGTCTGAGGATATCATGCCGCCAATATCTTCTTAGTCATGAACCCATTTGTCTTTCTTCGACAAAAATCAGCTAAAAGGGTAAGGGAGCTAGGCTCCAACCTGAACGAAATAAAGACACTTGGTCGAGTCGAGCCAGTAACGTCATTCGATGATATTACGAAAACAAGTGAATTTAGTTAGCGACTAGCTAGGTAAAGTGCTGTACGTGCGATGGTGAATAATGTGGGTGGTGTCAATAACAAGTTTTCAATACTCAATTCTTTACTTCCGCATTTTGAAAACAAAATTATGTCGGAAGTGAAAAAAAACGGCAGGATAGCGCGGAATATATATAATATGGATTTATTGAAAATCCCACAAATCCATCTTCGCCTATGTGCCTTCTTTGTCAAAAAAATGTTCGAATGAAGCGATGAAACTCTCAAGGCTTCAAGATTATTTAAATAGAATCCATTCAGATAAAAAAGACAAAAGTGTGACTTATTTTCAAGAACTGGAAAAGAAACACTCAACTGAGTCAAAACTCCGAGCTTCCTACAATATCTTCTTGCTAATTTCTCAAACAGGTAAATCTTCAACTATTGGAGAGGATATAATTTTACCGGCAATAAAAGAAGTAATAATTTGTTGTCATACGTGAGATTTATTAAAAATGAGAAAATATATCAACAACTACTATTTGCCAGAAATTAAGAGACGGATACAAAAATAATATTATATCAGCTGCTATGGATGCCGCTCTGGTTATGACAGGACATGTGGTTGTGAAAAATTTGAGTGAGCGCCTCTCTCAATCACTGCAATATATCATCAACGCAGCCAATAAAATCCGGAACAGTTCTTTAAATGACAGATTATTTGATCAGATTTGTGTTGCTTATGATGGAGATTTCAACTGATTGCTATTTCACACAGAAGTGCGTTGGTTATTACACAGAAGTGGGTTGGTTATCAATGTAACTGTCTGACTTGATTTTACAATCTATTTGACAAAGAATGGCACGACAACCTCATCACTTCAAAGAATGATATTGCGTACAGACCTGTATAAATTATTTAATGATGTCAATTTCCAAATTCAAGGTGACGACTTGAATTTGATTGAAACAAAAAATGTCATTGCAGCTTTTGTATCCCAATTGCTCTCATACAAGAATAATATCGGCAGACGTGAGTTCTACAATTTCCCTAATTTGTCAGCAGTATTCTCCAACAACGATGACTTTCTTGTTAACTGCCAACATTTGGAGAACATCTAAAGTGATTCCGCAGAACCATTCCAGGACATTTTAAAATTGGAAATACTGGACTGGATCACCCCAGCTGGAAGAAGAACTCATAGAACTGATAACGAACGAGGAAATAAAAATGAAATTAAAAAATGGATACCAAGAATTTTGGCTACAAATGCAAATTCCGCAATTGTACCTTGGATCGTGGTCCATCATTCAACGATTTTAGATAGCATTCCTATCATCCCCACGATGTGGGGAGTGATCATTGCTTGATAATGCTGGTGCGCCCTCCCGAGTGTATCTGGGACTTCGGGGGATAGGGCCTGACCAGCGCACATCACGGTGAAAAAAAATTAATGATAATACGGCACTCTTGCGGTACTGACGAGACACCGGTGTTGCCCTACGCTCCGGGAGATATTGAATCCGTTGTGGGAAACGAGAAGTGCCAATTTCATTGAAACTTTTCGTTTCCCACCCTCAGACTCAGACAAGCTAATAAGCCTGATGTAGTCCTTCTCGACCACCAGAGTAAAACGATATTTGTCATGGAGTTTTCAGCTCTTGGTGAGACAAATATCGACATAGTCAACTTGAAATCCAAAAAGAATGTCATTAATAATGCGTAGATCATCTAATAATAGTTCAAGTAATAAATNGTCCTTGGTGGAATGATGCCCTCTCTACTCTCAAATCTTGAAATCATACCGGCTTACCGCACTAAGCTAGAAATCTTAGCCGCACGGATGCAGAAGGATGTCATTCTTGGCTCACTGCACTTGCTCAGGGCACATGATTCTCGGATTCAATGATCACTTACTCCACTATGTGGGGAGTGGTCACTGGTAGATAATGCTAGCGCGTCCTCCCGAATGTATCAGGACTTCGGGGGATAAGGCCTGACCAGTACACACTACGGGAAAAAATAATAATGATAATAATACAAGCTAATAAGCCTGATGTAGTCCTTCTCGACCAGCAGAGCAAAACGATATTTGTCATGGAGTTTTCAGCTCCTGGCGAGACAAATATCGTCAGAAAAGAAGAGGTAACAAGGATAAAATATCGAAATTTCCCCTTCGAACTCCGCATACTCTATCCAGATCACTCTGTCAAGATGATTGTTCTGATTATTGGAGTTCTTTGGGGAATGATGCCCTCTCTACTCTCGAATCTTAAAATCATACCGGCTTGCCGCACTAAGGCAGAAATCTTACCCGCACAGATGCAGAAAGCTGTCATTCTTGGCTCACTGCGCTTGCTCAGGGCACATGATTCTCGGACCCAATGATCACTTACCCCACGGTGTGGGGAGTGGTTATTGGTTGATAATGCTGGCGCGCCCTCTCGAATGTATCGGGACTCCGGAGGATAGGGCCTGACCAGCGCACACTACGGTGAAAAAAAAAAATAAAATAATATGCTTTAGTGCCCAAAGAACATTGGGTCATATTGACCAAGCTGCAAATTTTCATCAGTCATCATAAACATAAGCACATTCATTGATAGGGTACAAATAATGTTAAAATACTAAAACACATATAAAATTGATTGAAAATATCATACAATAAAAAATACCAAGAAAGTTTAAAATGTTCAAATGCATTATACCATACTTTGGTCAATAAAAAATACAGTTGATAAAATAAATTAGAGAAAGCGATCCTCATAGAACTCTTCTAAACTATAATAGGGTCTACCACATAATAAGTCTTTTACTGATTTTCGAAATACACAGTTATCCTCTAAAATTTTAATATGCTTAGGTAAATGATTAAATATCTTGAGACCATTATAATATATAAAGTTCTTGACTAGAGTATAGGCTGGTATGGGTAATCTTAAGCCGTTAGATTGACGAAGGGCATAATAATTGGAGTAACCGCTAAATATCAATTTATGTTTGTTAATTAAACATACTGTTTCTAAAATGAAGATACCAAAAACTGTCAGGATTTTATGAAATTCAAATAGGGGTTTGCAGGAGTCTCGACTTTTGGCATTACACATGAATCTTATAGCCCTTTTCTGAATAATGAACACCATCTGCATTTGAGTTTTGCAACATACTCCCCAAAAAGGTATTCTTAAACGTGACTCGACGAGTGAGAAATAAGCCGAACTAGCGGCAGACAAACCAACATCCTTATACGTTATTCTCACTGCAAAACACCCTGAAGCTTTCTTTTTATTGAGGGTTACAATATGATCGGCGAATATGAGTTCATTGTCAATTATTACCACCAAAAATTCAGTACTAGGTATGTTTTCAATTATCCTGTCCGCGCCCTGTGTTGGTAAAAGAATGCTGTCAATAGAGCAGCGGAATGATATTAAATTTGTTCTGAAAACATTGAAAGACAGCAGATTAGAGTCGCACCACTTTTTTATTTTTTTTTATATTTGCACTTATATTCTCGTGGATATTACATGAAGTTTTAAAATCTGTATTCTGAATGTATTCATGTGATATTATTGATTTGGCTGGGTCTAATTTTGGATGTGTTATTATTTATAGTGTATATATTTGAATTTTTTTGTTCATCTCGTATGTGAGAAAATGGTTTTTTTCACTATCTATGTACATTTCAGCAACCATTGGCCCGGCAATATCATTAACAATTCTAGGGTTCCTACCTGATAATACACCTGAGTTATCAGTTGCAATGTTGATACTTACTGTTTCACTTCAATCAGCAGGAACTAGTGGATATATTGTGAACAATTTAGATCTGTCTCCAAATTTTGCTGGGCTCATCATGGCGCTATGCAACAGCTCCACGAATGTATTATCTATATTAGGACCTCTTGTTGTGCAATTAGTAGTAACCGATAAGGTGAGTAAAAAAGCTAACAGATTCATATAGTTCCAATTCTGTAACCTGAATAAGTTCAATAAATACTGCGGTAGCCCCATTGGCTTCATGAAGAAGAAATAAACCGTACTTGGATATTTTTATTACAGCTGGAGGCCGAGTCCATTGAGTAAGGAATTGGAAATTGACAAAAAATAAAGCAAAAGAATTCGAAATGAATCTCATAGCTTCTACCGCACTTGATGCTTTGTTCGCTCTAGTTAAAATATATCCTGTCTCCGACTAAAGTCTTGAACTTCAGTGAACTTCGGTCATACTATTCTCTTGGTTGAATATGTGCACTGACGAGGAGTATTATTCCGAAGCGGAGAATTTTTTCTATAAAAAATTTTGCCTTCAATGTCTTTCCTGGTATTAGCCAGGAAATTAGTTGTTTCTGACGAACATTTGGTAGATCTTTCTACTTGTGATGCACTGTTTGATACCCTTGCTGTAGTAATGAATATTTCTAGAGTTGTATCCCAACACCAAACCGTTTTATTCAACACCTCGACATGTATTTCAATCACCAAGTGATTGAAGAGGAAGATCAAACTGTAGTTCAACTACAGTTAAAGATCAATCTACAATTTAATCTTCCTCTTGAAGATTATCACTTGATGATTGAAACACGTGCCGAGATATTGAAAATAACGGTTTGGTGTTGATATAGAACTACAGTAATATTCAGATCTTTCTATGGCTAGTACCAGAGTGTCACCAAGATTTAGCCAAAGCCTCGGTTGATACTAACATTATCCTGAGGTGGGTTAAAGGGCACGACAGGAGTAAAGGCAATCGCATTCCCGACTCTTTAGCCAAGGAAGGGGCTGAAATAAGAATTTTAGGACCCAGTGGCACCTACGGCCTGATGACTTCGACAATTGCGGAACTAGCCAAATGTTACACCCATGCTCAATCCTTAAAGAGATGGGATGGAATCAAAGGATGCAATCTTGCCAGGATCACCTTGGGCGACCCTGGGAAGCTAGCGCCGAAGAAATATCTGGCGATGACCAGGAAAAATCTACGCATTACAGTAGGATTTCTGACTGGCCACTGTCAACTAAGGAAACACCTCCATAATATGAGGCTAGTGGACACACCTCTATGCAGGATGTGTGAACAGAAAGATGAAACTGTCAGGCATGTCCTATGCGAGTGCCCGGAGTTATCGTCAATAAGAGAGTGTGTGTTTGGCAAGTCTTAGTCATATATCTGCCGATATGAAGGAGATGTCTCCTAGTGACAAGACCACCTTCCTGGAAAGGACAGGATAGACGATGACCTAGGAGGAAAACTCCTCGGAAGGATGTACAATGGGTCACATGTGGCCTAAGTGCTGTGGGCTCACACTCACCCTCCCTACTCTGCAGATACAGAGAGGTGGATGTTTTGAATATTGGATTGTATAATGAAAATTCAGATTTTTTTATGTAGATGTAAAATAGATGCATTTAAATCATCATTGAGGGTGTCATGTCTAATGCAATCAAAACCGGAGCTTCAGGTTCTTCATGCATTTTCAGTTTGGTTGATCAAAAGATTTTACTTTGTCTTTGGAACAACTCATTGGCAAAGTTTCGAATGTTCAAGCTTGGTTTCAATATGATTATTTCTATTAGCAAAGCTCAGCATTCAAGGAACACTTCATTGTGAGACTTTCACCAAACAGTTTCATGAAAACCCAACACGCGTTTCGCTATACAATAGCTTCTTCAGGCGTGTCTTCACCCTTTACTGTGAAGACATCAAGTATCGGCCGATTCCATCACGAAGCTTAGCTATTTTCTTTAGTCGCTTTCATGACCTAGGACATTACTGACCGAAAGCTTGTAGGTTTCCGATTGAGTGTCAGAGTGACGGAATGCGCGCGGAAGCCAGACTACCCGTTTTTTTGGTATATTTTCAGGGTTCTGTGAAAATTACAAATAATTGAGATACAGTTTCGGGAGTCGGGACTTTTTTTACGCAAATTTATTGATCTTTTCAGATCTTTTTTCAAATTTTCAAAATTTTTCGAGATATTCAAAAAAACTAAAGCCCCATTTTTTTTCACTTAATTGTTTATAACTTTTGTAATTTTTTTCAGCGTTTTTTCGGACCTTTCCTTAAACTTTTTTGGTTAAAAATTCGAATCCAATGACACCTTGGTCGTAATTTTTGGAGACGTCTGTAAAATTTCACAAACAAAAAGTACATGTGAACCAGACTAATCGAATATGAAAGAGAATTGTACTCGTAATCATAAGCAAGTAGAATGAGAATTATTAAAATTCACTGTGCGTTTCGCCTCGAGCTTCTTTTCTTCGAAAATAAATAAATTGTTCGAACTTCTTCAAGAAGTGGAGTGCTCATTCCAATTCAAGAGGAATGTTTTAGTATATACAACTAAAATCCTGAGCTCATCAATATTTTCATTGGCCTGGTTTGAATTCTGATATTGAAAATTTTATGGAAAAAGGTAAATTTTGTCAAAAAAATTGTAAAGGTGAAACTTCATACTCTTTTGATAGTTCTCAAAATTATTGACGAATAGTGAAAAAAAAAACAATTTCCCTTAGTAAATGAAAATTATTCGATAGTTCATGATTCTCATTCAAGTTGACTAGAGTTGATTCCTTTAAAAAAATCTGTCAGCTTGAGTCACAGGAAAAATGATGAGCAGTGTAGAGGTTTTAGGCTGCCACTGAAGTAGATGACTGCCGTAGATATTTTGATTGTGTATGTGTATGAATTCGTTCCCTCATATTTGAATGTTTTCAGTCGTTTGTAGTTATAATGTTTCCTTCGACTAATTTATTCTGATAACTTTGTGAAATGGCTGAAATTGATGATAAAGTTTCAATAAACTGCTACGAAAGGAAAGCCCGAAATATATATTTGAGTTGAGACTCTTAGAAATCAATCTGTAATAAGATTTAGATAGTGTATTATTAGGATAGGATCTTTGTAGCTTGTAATTTATTTCATGAGGGTATATATGAATTCAACATAGCCATTTTATCATGAATATAACATAATCAACATGACTGGATGAACTCAATCCATTATATAATTTCAGACTGATAGATCACTATGGAGAATAATATTCCTGATATCAGCCGCATTGTATATTCTCCCAAATATTTTTTATTCCATTTTTGCATCCGGAGAAATTCAGCCTTGGGATTCTGAAAAGAGTGAAATAGCATCCGGAGAAGTTCAGCCTCGTGATTCAACAGGTATTGAGAGGAGGAAAGTAGAAGACAGATCCACGAAGAAGATGTCAGTCATATCAATAATGTCATTATAATTCTTGAAATACAATTTTTTTATGAAAGTTTTTTTCTGAAGTCTACTTTGGTATCTGAAATGAGGGAGTTCAATCCTTTCAAAGCACCGGTGGACTTACTTCTTCAGTATTTGACACTTGTCTGTTGTAGATTATTTCCTGATTGTGCCAGTAGTGTAGTTATTTGAACAGATATTCTCGACATGTGATAAACTAATTTTGAAACAGGCTCCACGAAAGTCTCCTGAACATATATCAGTTGATATAACGTACTCGTACTGCCATGGCAATTGTTATACGAAACACAATTTTTCAAAAGACCGTGTCGGTGTCGGTGATATTGAAAACATGTTTTAGCAAAATACCTATACATTCACGGCATCATTCTCAAAATTATAGCATCAATATTATTGACAACCTAACACACGAAGTGAATTTTTGGTAGTTGTTACTACACATTCAATATCATTGTCATATTCTGGTGAATTGGGATTTCGTGAGTTTCAATATGATCTATAGTAGACAAGTGTGTTGGTATTTTCATGACTATATTGATTTGAAATAGTGATTTATCGAAATCTATTCTTCAAAAACAAACTTTTCAAATTAAGTGTATCAAAGTGGAAATGTTTCTCATGAAAACATTCATTTTGAATTATTATCCCATCATGATTATGATTTTCCGGTATATGTGAGAGTTAGTATTATTTCTGACGTGAAGGTATACCTTCAGAAGGGACGATACACAAAGATCATACGGGACCCTACTGCATCAATCGAAAGGCATTTGTGCCAGATTTTGAAAAAACACCAAGTCTATTTTTCGGACAAGGAAAGATCATCGCTAACACCGCACCACAGTAAGCCCTCTCACTTGTATGGACTACCCAAAATCCACAAGAAGGACGTTCCGCTTAGACCGATCATCAGCTCCAGAGATTCGGCTACTCANTCTTTTTTCATTTCTTCATTTCAATTTATTCAATTGTTCTATTTTTACTTGTATTTTAATTCACTGTTATTTCATTTTAGGTTTATTTTGCTTAATATAATTGTTATTTTCAGCTATTCATTTATAATTATTCTTTTTTAGTTGTTTCAGGGATTTCAAATCATTTTATATACTAGACAAAGGAAGTCCGAACTAGTGAAATTCATCATGAAACATTGTCAATCACCTTCAAACAAACATATATCTGGTTATTGGCCTGTTTGAATAATTTTTCGTCATTCCTGTTTGAGTTGCAATTAACTGCAATTTGCTTCATCAGATTGTGTGAAACATGTTCTTCCTTAAGAATCAGTGAAGAGTTGTCCTGAAAATCTTGAGAAAAAAATTTGATTAGATGATTGAGGAAACACTTGCTACATGAATAGTATTTTACAAGTGTTGTTCATGATGAAGAATTTCAAGAAGATTTTAATGATGAACGAGAACGAGAATGTTTCCTACTCATTCACTCAAACCCATGTTCATGCAACTGCAGTTTCGTAGGAATGTATCATCTTTCCCTCCAACCGATTTCCGGCAGTCTTTGAAGTTTGGGGTTCTTGTTGAATACTCTTCGTGAGCAAAACAATAGCAGAATCAATACTCCAGACCGCTCTGGATTAAATGATTCCATGCAGTCTATCTCGTCTTATGTTTGTAAATGTTTTGCTGGAACAATTTTCACTTGTTTACTTTGTAGTAAATGTTCAAGAGGTAGCAAAAACGTATGTGAATTTCTGGAACTTCAACTAGCGTTTCTTTATATGACTAATAACCAGTCCGTGCAAAGATTATTGTTAAATCTTCTGGAAATGAAACTTTTAACAGGTGATGATCAACTGCATTGCCAAACATGTGCCAAACTAACTGACTGTTATAAGAAACCAAGTATAGCTGAGGCACCAGTCAATCTAATAACACTGATGATCTTCAAAAATGACTCAACCTCTGACGGAAGCACCAAACTCCTACGAGGGTTCGAAATAGATGAACGCTTCAATCTTGCTGACCACTATTATAATTTTCATGCAGTCATTGTAAACTGTGGTTGTGGCGTTGAATCTAATCATTATTACTCCTTGGTCACAGACGAAACGGACTGGTTTAAGTTTGACAAGAGTTGTGTCACTAAGTGTCCTGGCGATGTATGACATTTATTGGAGCCTCTGGAGACACCCTACATTTTGTTTCACGAGAGAAGACATTGGCAGATCAATATCTTCAGATGATGTGGTGCTGCAGGTTTTTTCGGGTTTTCCTGTAGCTGAAAAAGCAAATGCACCACTGGAATCAATAAAGTCGCTCCGGAGCGTCAATTAATTTTTGTTGTTGTTTTATAATTCCATGATTCGTATTTTGGAATTGTTGTTTCTGTAGACATCGGAGTACTGATGAATCTGTTGATCCTGTTATACTCGTAAGCTGCTAATTTATGTTGATGAGGGTTATCAGAATTGTTGCTAGTAGCGGTGCTTATATTTGTGGTGTATTGCAAAATCATAGTTTTTGTTAATTTTTGTGATTGTAAGAACTGAATAGTTGATCTGAATTGTTGATGTGTTCTTTTCAATCGTCGTCAACATATCTCTACGAATAAATTATTTTTTGAAGTGATAACTTCTTATGGGAGGGTGAACTGCTTGGTAACGTAACGCATAACGGCGCCAGTATGTTTAGCTTCCTTTTATCCTCACTCTAGCTATATTTCGGACGGACGATTCTCTAGCCTCTTTTTACATGACTCAGTGTTCAGTGTTCGATCGACATATACTGTTGACAGTGAGCATATAACGAAAAAACCATAACCGCTTTTGAAAGTGATTATACAACGTTTGATGAAACAAGCAGAAGATGATTATCGGAACACTACACAAACTCCTTACGAGAGGTTAGACATAATGGAATATTTTTCTTTTCCTAATACTGAAAAATCATCTCCCATAATTAATACATTTTTTCACGATGATAAGGATATCAAAATTTCTAAAAAGAATATTGAACTTATTGGAGATATCAAAACACAGGCTTTGTTACGAAATGGTCCTAATCAACAAAAATCCTGATAATATAAACAAACAAACAGACATGAAAATCTAAGCATAATTTACAATTATTTAGTAGACATAGATAAATCTTGGTAATATTCTCAATTTGAAATAGTCACACTTTGTCTAAAATTCATTGAATCAGCATTTATTAAATAGAAATCTTTTCAATGATAATGTCACTCTTAACATTACAGTGAGCTTTGAAATTATTATTATCAGATATTTGAAAGTTATGACACTATTAACATCAATGTGCTACCTTATTGTTTGATCTATTCGAGGGCAGATGGCGCTGTACGTAACCTCCTTGATATGATTCGAACTCACTTTACATGTATTTCTTCATCTGAAATAAGTATTTTTTTTTATTGACACGCGCGCCTGCTGCCTTATTTGTAACCCTCCTTTGCGCGCCTGCTGCCTTGGGCTTGGTAGCTAATTTTCAGGCTCCCTCTCCGGAATCGGAAGTCCGCGGTTTGCCTCACTTTTGGAGTGTTGTGTCCACTAATTGTTTCATTTTTGATTTTTATATCATACCCACTCGATAAAATCTCTCTTTGTATTTATATCCTGGACCCGGATGTCACGCAGGTAGCTATAGCTGCCTACCACATATAATACATGAAACATACATACATGTGCAACTCGTTCATGGTTCAAGAGAAATGATACAAGTACAGTGCTGCCATCCTGAGAGTATTTCGTATATCTGTCGGGTTAGCAAACTGGGACAACAAACTAGATAGATTGGGTGATTTTTTGTAGTCAAGTATTTATTGGAAATTAACGATAGGTGAAATTCAAGTATAACTATAGATCATGTTTGAAATGAATGAATATGTAAATTAATCAATGATGATTTTTCCTAAATATTGTAATTTCGTACTATATGTCATATATCGGATAAAATATATGGATATTACATATTTACTACAATGACTCAATAATATAGAATGACTTTTTGGGAAAGAAAGTTTTTGGCTTTCTACTACTCCATCTTGATACAAAAAAATTTAGGAATCTTCCAAAAAAAGAAGGAAGTAATCAATTTGAAAATAAGTAACTCTATACATGGATGTGTAGATCATGCAAAGAAGTAACTTTCAGACACAAACTGGAAGAAAGCCCTCCTGAAACAGCGACTTTCATATAAACATTGAATTACACGAAAGAGGAGTAGTAGAAAGCCAAAAACTTTCTTTCCCAAAAATTAATCACTCCTGAAAATATAACCCTTTCAATTCAAATAAGATTTCTCTTGGCTGGGATTTAATCAAATAGGTGAATGCATGTCATTACGATGTCATCGATGACATAAGTAGATCAAACTTATTCCGTGACATTGAAAATCGTAATTCATGAATGAATTGTGTGTATTTTCTATAATGTTATCCAATCCGGTACTGAAGAGTCTTAAGTCAAGTGTCTTACGGTGAAACATCGATGTCAACCAGTGAGGATGACAGTGTTCCGTGTAAGTGCAATTTGTTATCATTCATTCAAAGTAAAACTACTGTGAATGATATCTGATTTTATTCCATAACGAATGTTTGGAATACAAACTCAGTAGAGAAAAGCTTCTTCTGTACAATTCAGTGTTCATATAAAAGTATTTGTTTCGAAAGAATTTTTTTCTTTCGTTTAATTCAATGTTTATATGAAAGTAGCTGTTTCAGGAGGGCTTTCTTCCAGTTTGTGTCTGAAAGTTACTTCTTTCCATGAGCTACACATCCATGTATAGAGTTACTCATTTTGAAATTGATTACTTCCTTCCTTTCTTTGGAAATTCCCACATTTTTTTGTATCAAGATGGGGTAATAGAAAGCTAAAAACTTTCTTTCCCAAAAATTAATCACTCCGAAAACTATAACCCCTTTTATTCATAGAATGAATGTATCGATATTTTCCTTCACATGTCAATAGATATTAAGCACTCTTAACTCAAATTTATACACCACATTACGAATAGTCCTCTCGGTAGGACGATAATGGCGTCCGTAAAATGATCAAAGCGCGCGCTACGTTGCCCGAACAGAACACCCACTTTGATAAAACAATTTTATTATTTGCACGAGTTGTTGAATGCTGTACCTGTCCAAGATGATTTGGCAAAACAGACTGAATAAATGACAACTAATTTGACACATGCGAAGTGAGTTGTTGCCAACAACTGTGACAAGTGACTAGAAAAACGAAAAATATTGTTGAGAAGTATGGAAATGAAATGTCATCATCACTATGTATTTTTATATATTTCATCAAGATGATCGTCTTATGTGTATAACTAAAAACAGGTTTCTGTCACAAATATTGAATGACAATTGAGAACAACGACAATGACATGTAGACTCGAGAAAATTCCATATTTCATAAGTTTATCAACTCAAACGTGAATTCTCGATGAATATCGCCCGTGGTTTTGTTAGAAACCTCATCTTCTGACGTTTTTACTGACGTCGTTTCAGATATAATGATACAAATAATGTGGTTGAAGTACTTTCCACTCCATGATATTGAACTCAACGGTAGGTCTTCAGAATTTTAAAAATGAAAGAAACATGAACTGATTTGTTTCCTTAATAAACATCTTGACAATATCAATCGCCATACAAAAAACTGAGTTCATTGACACATTCTTGTTGAGATAATCCACATCGAAATTTGTGAGAAATAATCCAACCAAAACCATCTCTTGAAAATTCCATTTTTTTGTCAAATTAATTTTCTTAACTCACTGTAAACAAAACAAATGGAACTTGTACATCATAACGTTGTGGGTACGTTTATGCCACATTTTACCTATCGACATTAGTGTTGCCAGTTTCCGAAATATAAATTGTCCCCCATCGTAACGATGGCAATGAAAACCACCCAACCGTACAGAAGTAAGTACAAATAAAACGCCACTGAGATTCTAAACTTTGACCGTTGATACTGAATTTTTCTATTCGTGTATTCAAAAACGAAAACAATTAATTTGTTTCAAATAAAACTGATCATTACGTCAATACTAGACACAAAAACAACGTTTAAGTAGGCATCCCGTATTTTCAACTTATAGCCAATTGCTATGATGAATTCAAAACAATCTGTTAATTTTCAAACGAGATCTCAAAGAGTTTCTCTTAGAAAATTGTTTTTATAGATTGGATGACTTTATGTATATGTAGTTTTAAGCATTCAGCATACTGACTTTACATTTTTTGATTATTATCAAAATGTAAAAATAAGAGAAAGAAAATCACGAAGAAGTTGTTTTTTAATTACCATACTTTTATTAGCTCCACCTGTATGTATGTATGTTTGTTTGTACCTCTCAAGCTCGAGATCTGTATTTGACAGAAATATCGACCTTATTGTTTGATCTATTCGAGGGCAGATGGCGCTGTACGTAACCTCCTTGATATGATTCGAACTCACTTTACATGTATTTCTTCATCTGAAAGAAGTATTTTTTTTTATTAACACACGCGCCTGCTGCCTTATTTGTAACCCTCCTTTGCGCGCCTGCTGCCTTGGGCTTGGTAGCTAATTTTCAGGCTCCCTCTCCGAAATCGGAAAATGTCAATGGTCATTTTTCTAAACAATATACGGCTGATTGATCCCAAAGTTTAGATAAAATAAATATAGTCTAAAAAGACTAAAAAACACGCTTTCATAGCATACGAAACTAAAAAATGAAAAATCAATATAGTTTGAAAAACTAAAAAACACGCTTTTAAAGAACATCGAAATAAAAAGTTAGTTTTTTCTTTTTTTTAATTTTTGTCGTCATCGTTTTTCTCGTAATATGCTGTATGTAGATATATTCATGTAATTTAGATTATTGGAGTATTATACTTGTTACAATATTATTAGAATTTTAAAGAGTTACACTTCCTTATTGATAAATTACCAGTTGCTAACTTGGTAACAACTTGTTTCCCAACATTTATGTTCACCTTTTAGAACAATGATCAAAGATTAGAAATATATAAAGTCAATACCACGAACAACTTCGGCTTTGAGTAAATATTATTGATTTTAGTTTCAAGAAACCGATATGTTTTTGTACATTGTTTTATCACCGAGAGACTGCTGATGAACTTTATTATTATTATCATCATTATTATCACCTACCGTAGTATGCACTGGTCAGGCCCTATCCCCCGAAGCCCCGGTACATCCGGGAAGGCGCGCCAGCATTATCAACCAACGACCACTCCCCACACTGTGGAATAAGTGATCACTGGGTCCGAGAGTAATGTGCCTTGAGCAAGCACAGAGAGCCAAGAATGACAGCCTTCTGCACGGCTAAGATTTCTGCCTTAGTACGGCAAGCCGGTATGTTTCCAAGATTCGAGTGGGCATCATTCCACCAAATACTCCAATAATCAGAACAACCATCTTGACAGAGTGGTCTGGATAGAGTCTGCGGAGTTCGAAGAGAAAATCTCGATATTTTATCCGTTTTTGGTTCTTTTCGGACGATGTTCGTCTCGCCAGGAGCTGAAAACTCCACGACAAATAGCGTCTTGCTCTAGTGGTCGAAAAGGACTACATCAGGTTTATTAGCCACAACGGATTGAATATCCTCCAGAGCGTAGGGCAACACCGATGTCCCGTCAATACAATTATTATTATTAGGATTATCACACCAGCTACTGACCACCATACAGTGAACATGGTCTTTTTTGCTGAGTTTTTGCCTTTGGGAAGCGCCTGGGTGGCTCATCGGTGTCCTACCACTGTTCTGAACATCTTTAGTTGTCATGGAACATCAATTTTTCACCACACGTGAAGATACGATGGTATTCTATAATATTGAAAAGCTTAACAGTTCTATAGCTTGTCACCGTTTTACTCAATGCAAAACATCGTTTTTCTTATGAAGAATATATACAAATACAATGTTCTGGTTCCTTGATACCAATTTGGAATAAATGACTATTGTTTTTGAAATCGTCCCACCGATATTTCTTATTGTTATTTTCAATGACACAAATACTTAATTCGTTATCAGTAAAAACTTCAGCAGAAGTAAGTAGTAGAATGCGGCAAACGTTCTCCCAAGAAAGCGAAGACGCAACGAATGACACCTCCGCTGTCGATACTGCTGAATCAGTCGAATTGTACTACGAATGGCTCCACATCCACCGTAATCTCCCGACTTGGTCCTGTGCCACTTCTTGAAAACTTGAAAAAGTCACTAGCCGGGCAGAAGTTTGAGTGAAATGAAGAGGTTATCGCCGTCAATGAGGCGAACTTTGCAGACTCCCAGAAAACTAATTTTCAGACGGGTTAAAGAAGTTGAGCATAGTTGGGACGAGTGTATCGAGCTGAAACAAGACTATATTGACAAATAAATCGCCACAGTCCCAAATTTTTTTGTAGGCTAAGTACTTACTTCTCGGAACGCCCTCGTATGTGACGTCAGAGAAAAAGGTTGACTCGAAAAAAATGTCATTATCCAAATTTCAGGATATATATTCCGTTAAGTTCTTTCATTCGGTTCAAAATGTTTCCTGAATTCAATCGCTCTAAAACTATATAAAAGCAGTCTTAGCTTTGATTTTTTTATTGCTTTTCTGTATTGAAGAAAATATTCAAATCAGGAATTCAATATTTTGGTTCCTAATTTTCATATTCCATGTTTTTATGAAGGAATCCCGTCGGAATTCGAAATGTTTCCATAGAATTTTCTTTCTGAAAATTTCTTGCTTTTGCACTTCTCGAATTGATATTGAATAAATTAACGAAATTTGAATCTTGTAATTTTTCCACTAATTGATGATTTTAATTTTTCTTCTGTGATTTTTTCTAGATATTATTTCGAATCCAGTACTATCTAGAATCTAGATCATGAAAAGACTAATTTTTAATTTTTTTAGTAAGAGTTTTGTATTGTGGTGGGTTTGGGGGAAAAATTGAAAATAGTTTCATTGAGGAACTTATCATTTTCCATTTTTAATTGTATTACAGGATGCAACTATAATATTATATAAAACATCGAACAATATTTTTTCATGCATTCAACATATACCAACATTACAGAATAAATAAATATGAAATCAGTCAAAACAACAAATATTCATTAGGGTCTAATTGAATCTAAAATCCAGTCCAAATAAAACGAAACTTTGGTGAACACTGCTGGATAACCTTCTTTTCCACATTCAGAGTGACCAAATGAGACAACTCCTTGCTGTATATACCTAATCGCACCGTTGGCATACGCTGCAACTTGCAGAGGTCCTCCACTGTCTCCTTTACAAGAATCTTTATTTTCACGACCTCCTGCACAGATCAATTTATTTGTTATCTGAACATTCGATTCGTCTTTATAGGCGTTACTGCAGTTTTTCTGAGTAACNAGGGAACATTTCAAAATTGTACATTTATTATTTGTAATGACGTGAATAAATAAAATATGGTTCAGTTTTCATTTCTATTTATTTTTATTTGTGAAAGGTAGAGGGAATTATAAAATCTATAATGTCCCAAGGGAGTTATGACCCTCTTTATTGATAGCGTAACTATGACGATATAAGCTTATAATATCCCGGTCAGAAATAAATTCATTTAGAAGTTTATTCATTTCAGGGAGTTTATTTCATATAAACGTAGTTCTCCAAACGAAAGAGTTCTTGAAAAGTGAAGTTCGAAGTTTACAGAATTGAACCTCAAAAGGATGAGCAGCCACAGTCCGTCGCGAATTTTTGATATGTACCGCTCTTGGTGGAATCAAATGTGCCAAATCACTTGAACACCACCCGTGAAAGTATCTATAAAAGAAAGACAAATCTCCAACCTTCCTTCGATGTTTCAGATTATCAAGGTTGCACGTGATGTTCGCGTTCCCAATCAGGCGGATGGCTCTATTCTGGATGAAATCCCGCAGCTTCAGTGGTAAGCTTAGGAGCGGAACTTCATACATGAGAACAATACTCCAAAGGAGGTCTGATCTGAGCTTTATGAAGCATCAAAATTTGCTGACGTGTGTACAGTTTTCTGGTTAGGAATAGTTATCCAACCTTTTGAGAAACAACATTCACAATTGCAGCGACATGATTGTGCCAAGACATTTTGGTATCCATTTTAATCCTCAACACACTTATCGGAGCAGGAAGCTGTCCTGGTATTATTATATCCGGTTCAGAGACATTCACCTTTTGTCCTGGAATCCAAATGGAATGACGAGACAACTGTGCTCTCGTCAACAAAGCAATATATTGGATTCTTGGTTTTTCCCAAAAAGGCTTTTGAATATACAATAAAAAGGGGGTTGGAGACAATGTGAATCCCTGGGGAACACCAGCGTTGATGGTGAAAGTATTCGGGAAATATCCATCGACGGCCACTTGAAATAGAAACGAAGAAAAAAAAGATATTTCAATCCAAACTACTTCACATTTATATTGCTCCAAGTTTTTTGGTTAAGTGCACTAGAACATGTTTTTTTCGCTTGATTGAAGGTTTCCATACGTTGAAAATGTCTACACTATCCTAACTGAACGCCAAATACGTCATTATTCAGTATGTAAATAGTTCCTTTAAACTTTCCCTGAACCAGCATGATCCAATTAACCAATAAAAACTTTTGAGATATCAGGAATAGATCAGTTATCATGCGCAAAAACATTATGGATACCAATAATTAGAACGTATTTAGCATCTTTGTTTAAACTGGTTTTCTTCTAATTTTTTTTGTTTGTATATCATTTCACTCATAGTTGATGAAACTGTAATCATCACATTGAAATAATGCATTTCCATTCCAGATATAAAGTATAGGTTTTCTTTGAAAATTATTTTCTATCATAATTAACTTTCATTTATGTTATCTTCTAGTTTCGATAATTCACATGACTAGAAAGTCACTGTTTTGAATGGAGAAAGAAGTTTATACATAACTATAAATATAACCAAATATAGATTTTTAAGCGGATGACAAATTTGACTTTTCTGTAGTCGATCAATTCAATAGAATATGTGGAAAAGGTCGGCCTGTATGAATATAAATATTACTGGAGTTTTTTTCCAAATCGTTATTTTTAACACCTCGACACGTGTTTCGATCACCAAGCGATCTTTTTAATCTTCCTCTTTGAAGATGATCACTTGGTGATCGAAACACGTGTCGAGGTGTTAAAAATAACGATTTGGTGTTGGGAAAAAACTCCAGTAATATTCATTACTACACCAAAGGTTCCCAACAGTGCATCATAAACTGTATGAATATGTTGCTCCTGAAATATTATACTCATCATCGGCAAGCTGAATATGAGAAATAAGTGAACATAATTTAATATTAATATTTGAAGAAGGTAATTTCTCACAAATTTTGTTCAATACTAGTTCATCTGTGTGCAAAACAGGTGAAGAATTCTTAGTGGGTTTAATTCAAAGTAAAACTTGCCCATTACTTGAACTGGTTGTGGAACCTAGACCTTCAATCAAAATGAAATTTTTGACAAACCTGATTTCTTTGAGGCTCTTTCAGTAACGGAATATGCTATACTGCCAGAATCAAAAAAAGAACGTCCATCCATGCGATTAGCAGTAAAACATTAGAATTATTATTGAGGTCAGTACTGGTCACACAGACACTATCATTGTGATGATTATTCAAAGATGTAATATAGGCAGTGGCAGAAGACTATAAGCAAGTGTATTCGCATGCAGCTGGGGCGGAATGTAAATATCTGGTCAAATGCTAGAATTGGTATATCTATGAGCAGAAAAAATCAAGTTATTTGGAAGCAACAATATTCAACTTGAGTTTGAGGAAGTGCGATTTTTATCTGTGTACAAGAGCGTATGGTGTTTATTAGAGAAACATTTTTTGTAAGTATTTTTTGATTGACAATTTCGTAGATCATGGGATGAAACAAACAATGGAAATAGAGATATAATGATTTGCAGAACGTATTTCTATCAGAAAGCACTTTGGTTTCGAAAATAGGGCAAATGTAAAAATGATGATCACCTTTGCAAAAAGTATATCTTGTTGAAATTGACTCATTCACAAAGAATGAAGAAAGGCATTTATTTTGAACTTTTTCAAAGCGTTCACCTTCATAGCTTAAGAGTTACAAACTCTTGAAAGCTAGATAATATTTATTCAAGAACGTATCCAAGATTTTCTTTGTCGGAATGGTTTGTGAACCATTATAACGAAATTCATAACCAAGGTGTTATCAATGCATTGTGGAAGCTTCATAGTATTTTGAATGTTCCATATGTCTACAGGCAATCCCTAGCTTTATCAGAGCTGCAAAAATTTCTGAATGAGTATCCAATGAGTTACTGAGAACTACATAATTATTTGCACTAATCTTTTGAGCTTTGTCCAAATTTAAAATAATGAACTTGAGCGCATACTTTTTTACTAGAATATGGATTTATTGTTACTTCCGGTTACTTTCGAGTTACGTACGTGAGATAGAGGTGGTCCCGCAAGGGCTGTTACTAGATAATCGTATTTCTCAGTAGAGATCAATGAAATGTTCCAAAGAATCATATACATTTAATTTAATTTTATCTTTGGTAAGCGAATGAGAAATTGAATGGGTGCTATTGAAACCTGAAGTCGTATTCTGCGGTTGATTATTCAGCGCTAATGAATGAATCACACAAAGTTTATTGAGACAAGATTTGCAGTATATTTTATTTCCTCGAAGGCTGTGATATAATGAAAATTCGGTACAAATATGTGTGGAAACACCGTTTATATTGTCATCAATATTCATATCTGCTATACTGTGTTGACTCTCAAATGCCCATGGTCAGTACGAATAGAATTCGAAAAAGAGGAATACAATTGACAAGTTGAAAACTTCTAACACAGAAAAATTTCTTCATTCCCATCAAGTAATGGAATATTATGCCAAAAATGATGTCGATGGACTTTTCAGGAAAGATTTGTTGACTGTATTGAGAAAATTTGAAATTAATGTTAAACCGTTGAACATAAACATTATTTTTACTCACTTCATGTTCAAGTTTTCAGTTTCAAATATTGTTACTCAATTCTTCTCATTCTGTTCAGTTCATTTAGTGCCCCTGTATTACAAGGTAATATGTGATCCGCCATTTTCTAGCTGCGGCCATCTTGAATTTGCATCTTTCTCATAGTGAACTACTATTCTACTAGGCAAGCCTTGTCATTTGATACCCAAACTGAGGTAGATGTGAAAATATATGTAATCCGCCATTTTGTAGCTGCGGCCATCTTGAATTTGCATCTTTTTCAAACTGTACTGATATTCTACTAGTCAAGTCCTTTCATTTGATACCGATATTGGGGTAGTTGTGAAACAATATGTAATTCGCCATTTTGTAGCTGCTCCCATATTGAATTTATAGTAATACAGAATTCATTGAATTGTATTGTTATCAAAACTAAATGTGTGTACCAAATGTCAGATCAATCTGTCAACAGGAAGGGGATTAAACTTCAATTACTAAATTTGACTCAAACAAACAGCTAAATGAAACCGTTTAATAAAACTGAAAACAACTTTTTGTACACTTAGCGGCGATTCTGAATCGACTGACTGGGCGTTCAGACAATCGTCCTTTTTAGGAATGACTAAGAGTTCAATGAATGCAATTAAGGATTCCAACAAAATATTTAAATTATATTAAGTGTTCAAGGAATGTTTACGAAATATCCAACGCGTTTTGAGAACTGTTTATATCAGATGCATGTAGTTTCATTTGAGATCTACCGATATTACTTGGTTCTAACAGTGGTTATTATTTTCAGTGTGATCATGATTGTGTTTTACATACCAGTGATGAGAATCACGGGTTGCAGGAAAAACCCCGTTGATTCTCAACTCGCACAACTTTCGACTCCTGAAGGTTATCCTTCGTAAGAGACAGCAGCTAGTTAATGGAAAGTAACATTTTTACTGGGTATTTCAAACAGATTCTTAATCATGGTAAAGTGTTGGTAGTCTCTATAATTGTCGGATGTTTTAAAAAACTTCAAGTCTCATAAATTATTATTTTATCTCAATAATTAGCATAAAGCCTGGAAGGTCCACCTTTGAATAATGTTTTGGAGGAATCAATGGATGGCATTCTTCATAAGAATAATTCATGAACATTTGAAAAGAGATGTTTTTATGGGAAATGAACTTTACATGCATGTTCTGCCTTCAAAGCATTGCCTTTTGGAAGCCATTTGGGAAACCCCACTCAACTTTTCTTAGTCAAAGCAATGAAAATACCAACCTGTTTTGGGGTCAGTGATTCCCCAACCGGTGACAGTGGCAAATTTGAATTGAGCATTGGCCAATTCTTCATCCACAGGTAAACAAACAGGTTTGACGTTATCTGCAAGCAAAATTTCATCATCAGTTTTTCACACTCAATTTCAAAACACAGATAGAATTGGAATTTCTACGAAACATGTTTTTAAAATCCAACACTCATCCTCTCAATATTGCTCAGAGAGCAGGTAATCAATATGTTATTGTCGGTGGTGATCAAACTATGGTCATCAATATTATTCAAAGAATAGAATGAAAGAATGTGTTGAACAGGATTTCTTCAGTTTATTTTATATTTATTCCACTTTATATCTACATTCTCCTAACTGATGTAGGAGTAAAAACTCCGGTCTGGGTAATTTTCTGATTCATTTGAAGAATTATGGTATAAAACTTTATAAGATCGAGTTGAGGATCAATGATCATAAAAATTACGCATAATTTACGAAGAAAATTACAGAATAACTTTCACCTCAAAAAACGTACTTGATTTCTGAATAGAAGAATCTTTCAAATGATAACAGAGGAGAATTATGATAGTGATTTATTTTTTGGAAAAACCTTCTAGCTTTCTGATTCTTCATAATCATATAGAAAATAGAAAGCATCTGAAGGAGAGAAGAAAATGATTCAATACACCAATAAACACTCTTTACAAAAATATAAAGTTTTTCACTGAACGATGATGGAGGAGTAGAAAGCCAAAAGTATTACACATTCTTCACTTCTATTTCAGAAAATAAGAAAAACATTTCCAACATTAATATTGTTTATTTGTACCGCATTGAAGTAAGTTTTCTTCTGCGTTTCAGGTGAACATGGATTCAAAACATTTTCAACTACATTTTTGGTCACTTAGACGTGTTTCAGAAAATTGTGGTGAAATCATTTGTCTAATTAATAATGTCGGGGTGCACAATGGAATATAATTTGTTCCAGAAGATTCCCTATGAAATATTTGAAAAAATATATTCGAAGTATAACGGAAGGCATTTATTGAAGTATCCTAGTGTTGATTCTATTTTGATACTGAAAACCACAATTTCGTAGTTATCATAAATCACACTCTGATGGATGTTTCTACATTTTCACAGTCCAGGTACCGTGACCCTACTTCTAGTTGTTTTTTTTTTAATAATGTCAAATACTGAAACTAATTTCCATGGCATGTATGAGTCACTTCTGCCCTGATGTTAAATATAATGAAAGTCATTTTCTTCTTTTTCGTTTGAATACTATTTTTATTGATCATCACAAAATCCCACCTACTTCACCTTGGTGAATAAATTGTTTTTATAATTTTAATACGGTTTCTACGAATTGCAAAAACGCCAAGTCTGCAAGTGATTCCACAAGATTCCATAAGAAACAAAAATCCAGAAGATATAAATTTTAATTTGAGTCCGATTATTAAATAATTGAACTAGATCAGATAAATATTGGGAAACTAATTTCTCGGGGTTGTTGAAGTCATCTTTTACCTCTACTTCTACCGAAGAGTTATTATTAACAAATAATATATTCAAATTTGAAGGATTTTATAGCCGAAAACATACGTAGATCAATATTCCTTTCACAATGAATACAAAATTCACTTACCAGTTTGAAGATTGATTCCAGATAGTCTTAGGAGGCCAATATCATTCTGAATAACCTCCCTTTGGTACTTTGGATGTGGTATAATCTCTTCTATTGCTATATTTTGCACTGGGCCAATGCACTTCTTGGTACCTTTTGGATCCTCCACACAGTCCACTTTCGTCAGAATATCGTACTCTCCCACTCTCGCTCCCAACCTTAAAGAAAAACAAAAACTGGAACTCTAATAAAACAAAGGTGTTTAGATTTTTCCTTGAATGCGATGAACATTCCGATATCTCTCAACCCCAGAACCTTTTGAAGAAATTTGGTATTTTTTCTCTTTCTTGTGTTCAGATCATACTGACTAAATATTTGAAGTGACATTCGTCAGTAGGGCCAGAGCCTGGTGGGCCCCTCATACTATATACCAGGCATTTAAAGAGCTACCCGTCACCCGGACCCTCCCAACTCATTCCGATCCTGTTGGTCAGAATCCGAGCTGCTAGGCCGTTGTCGAATGGAAATTGTTTCGTTTAGTCTACTTTTTCAGCAGACATCTTCAGTGATAGATGAGTTAACTGCAGCGACGAAAGAAGGATATCAGAGTGGAAGAACAACTCAGTAGCACTTGTGCTAACTAAGTTGAACTTCGCCTTTTGTTATGTCAGCAACTAGCTCTCCAATTTATTTGAACATTTGTGTGTAACTACAGCTGGGTAACAATAAAGAAGATTATTATTATTATTATTAAGTAAATCAAAGTTCAAGCAACGATTCACTAATATGATTTTCATTATTTTCTCTTTCTTGTGTTCAGATCATACTGACTAAATATTTGAAATGACATTCGTCAGTAGGGCCAGAGCCTGGTGGGCCCCTCATACTATATACCAACCATGTGGAGAGCTACCCGTCACCCGGACCCTCCCAACTCATTCCGATCCAGCTCGTCAGAATCCGAGCTGCTAGGCCGTTGTCGAATGGAAGTTGTTTCGATTAGTCTACTTTTTCAGCAGACATCTTCAGTTATAGATGAGTTGACTGCGGCGACGAAGGAAGTAAATCAAAGTTCAAGCAACGATTCACTAATATGATTTTCATTATGATAATAACAGGAATGAGAGACATATTTTTCCTCACGAAATATCACACCTTTTGATCAAAATGATGACTTTGAATATTATTAAAATCATTATCGAATTACCTTTTTCAATTCAAACTAACTGAAACTGATTTGATCTCTCGTATGAATGCCCTATTCGTACTTTTTACTCTTTCTTGAAGAATTGAAATCTTTTCACAATCATTTTCACGTAGCTCTCCGATGCCCGAAGTCGCGAGACTTATTTGGTTGAATTATCATACTGACTATTTCATTAAAATTGATCAGAAGCTTGTTTACTGTGAACTAGGCTAGAATGTTATTAATTGCAGTTTGTGAATCTGATACCAATTCATCAATATTTCTTTTTGAATTGAGAATGATTGTATCATCTGCAAATAGAAAGAAAGACATTGTTGAAAAATTCTGTATCAGGTTATTTATGTAAATCAAGAATATAGTAGGTCCTAATATGAATCCCTGAGGTACACCATATTTCAACATTCCGAATTCATTGCTAATGTTTGAGAAAGAAGAACGATTCAGTGTTTGCACTTCCACATACACTTTGCGATTTTCTAAATAAGACCTAATCCACTGATGTGATGTGCCGCAAACACCATAAGGAAGAAAAGTTTCCAAAAGAATGGCAAGTTCAGCAGAAAATGGAAAGTGATATTTCGTCAATGATGATATTTATATTGTTGAGTAGATCGAATGCAATGTCACCAGTACTCCTCTGTGATCGAAAACCATATTGTTTTCTTTCTATTATGTTGTGTAGATCTAGATATTTTATTAGCTGATATTTCATTATGAATTCAAGAAGTGTGATGGAGTATAAGTGCTTAGGCGATTTTTGTTCATTTGTTCATGTTCGTTTTTCCTTTATGTTAGAAGATTGCTCGCGTTCAGTCTTTCCAAAATGGGCAATAAAAGTCTTCCAAATAACTATAGACCAGTCGCTTTGCTATCAGTGATATAAAAAATTATGGAGAATGTCGTTAACCACCATATACTCAAATATTTGGAAGGCTTCAACAACTTGAGCTTTCGGCTTTCAAAAACAAAGATCCACAGGCGACCTTCTATCGTATGTCACCCATTTTTGGAATAGAGCAATCGAGAAAAATGGAGAATCGAGAGCTGTCGCGCTTGATATTGATATGACTTGTCGGATCATTTTTGTGTATGGCTCTTCACCTCCCTGAAAGAACGTTTCCCGCAAGTGGCCGTCGATAGATATCTCTCGAATACTTTCAGCATCAACGCTGGTGTTCCTCAGGAATCCATATTATCTCCAACCCTCTTTTTATCACATATCAACGACTCATTGGAAAAAACCAAATATTGCTTTGCTGACGACAGCACACTTGTCTCGTCATTCCATTTGGATTCCAGGACATCGGCTACGGAGGCACATCTTCACCGGCATCAGGAGGTTGCATATCTTAATGAGGATCTAAAAGTGTCAGTTCTTACAATTCCGCTTTCTGCTTCCATAAGTTTGTTGAGGGTTGAAATGGATACTAATATGTCTTAGCACAATCATGTCGCTGGAATTGTAAAGGCTCCTTCTCAAAAGTTTGGAATACTGTTCCGAACCGGAAAACTATACGCACCCGAGCAACTTTTGATGCTTTATAAAGCTCAGATCATATACTTCATTTGTAATATAGTGCTCATACATGGAGCTCTGCCCCCAAACATACCCTAAAGTTGCTGGATTCCATCCAGAAAAGAGCTATCTGTCTGATTGGAGACGCGAACATCACGTGCAACCTTGATAGCCTGGAATACGAAGAAAGGTTGGAGATTTGTCTCATTTCTATAGATCTTCTCCAGCTATCCACATCCAATGTGAATCGCTACTTTCGCACAGGCACCGCTCTAAGAGCACCTTAAGGATTTTCCTGTAGTGCTTGTGTTTTGTCCTAAAAAAAACTTGCAACATTGAAAACATAATGATTGGAATTATTAGCAACCTCAAAGGGTTTTTCAATTAGATATGCATTCATCTTTAGTGTTATTGAATCTGAAATATTCAGTTCAGTTTGTGGTTTCAGGGTATTATTGATAATGTTCCATGTCATTTTCATTTCGTTATCAGATTCTTTCACGTTTCAGTATACGCCGTGGCCGCACTTTTTATTTTCATAATACCTAGTATCTGAATGAATTGAAAATGGAATATTTTCAGGAGAGATTGAATTTTGAGAAAGGAGTTCTGTTTGCCATTCTACTACTCTATTTTAACACAGAAAATGTAGAAAACTTCCAAAGAAAGGAAGACTGTGGGTAAATAACTTCAGAACAAATCCTTTACGAAAATATGTAGATCTGCACCAAAATTTTTTTCGTATACAAAAAAATGACTATTCAAGCCTATTTAAAACAATTACCTTTTTTGGAGGGTTTTCCACATTTTTCTATGTATTCGTATGGAAAGGTTCTACTAGATGGAGAAAATTCATGTGACAGTTTCTCTTTCTTGTAGTGCTCTTTTCTTCTTGCTTTTCTACCACCATTTTAGTGTAGTTAGATAGGTGGGTATTCCAAAAAAAAAAGTTTGTATATTCAACTTTCCCCTGCAAAACGCCAGGGTTTATTTTGGCTACCACCACCGTCTTAGGAATCACACGTTAAAAGGTAAGACCTCGTTAATCCTTAGCTCGCACAAGTTTTGACTTCTGAGGGTTGTCGTTCGTAGTGGTGCGACAGCTGGTTAACGGAAAAAACAGATTTTAAAATAGATTTTTTTAAACTTATTCAAATTCCATCAACTGCCAAACATTGAAAACCTCATTCGTTTCGTGGTAAAATATGTGATCTGCTACCAGAGCTGAAATTTCTCCGTGAAGAATGCAAGGTTCACAGACCAAGGTCAGAATGTGTAGCTCTGGAATCGTATTTGTGAGAAGATCATCTATGGCAGTCATGAAGAGATTCTGAATAGGTTACAGTTGACTGGTCGGTATTGAGGTTGTCAGTTTTCAAGGTGAAAAATTCTCTCCACTCTGTAACTTTCTCATAAGAGGACATCTGTAAACCAGCTATATATAACGATTCAGTCATATAGGGCTTTTTTGCCTGTAGTTTGGGTGAGAAATCATTTGAGCGTATTCGTTTCCTGAACTGATCAGGAGTGGTTTGTTTTCTTTCATGATGCAGGTTTTGTAGATTGGAGATCTTACTCCAATATTGGAAGCTATAATATGGACCTCTGAAGGTCACTTGCGCCATCGAAACGTCAGAAATAATTTTTAACAGACGGCGGCTCAAAAACGAACAGTGTCAAAAGGAGTCCCCGAAAGCCCAAACATCTACACTGAAGTTCAAATTTTTCTTAAGGAACTCAATTTCTTTAAATTATCGTTCAACCAACTGGTTCAAGACATAATGGTAGATATAAGTAACACATGTTTCTTCCTTAATTATGTGTCATTGAAAGTTCATTCATATTCTTACCAACAGCGTTAACATTTAAATTTTTCCTTCCTGTGTTTGATGAGAAATGAAATGAATATGAAAATCAGTTCCACTTAAAACGACCGATTCAACTATTTATCGATATGGTAATCACATTTTCATAGAAGAGCATATATTGCCAGAATTATTAGGTCGACTTCTGTCGGTATTAAAATGTTAATTCGGAAGATGCGGAGAAGCACCTGTGGATCTCACCCGCACTGTCTAAAATGGAATAGAAACCTGCAACTAGATGCAGACGTGAGTCCATCCTGCACCGTTTCAAACTGGCCTCATTTGAAAAATCGTAAATGAAAAGATATTGCAGTAAAGTTGGCCTTAACGATCGTGCATATTTATCTACCTTGTTTCTGACCGTTGCTGTGAGATACGATGACGGGCGCAAAGATATAGATGAGAAAAATTGATTAGAATTTTATGAAAAGTTTCCACAAATTAATATCAGTTCAGATGAAGCGAAACTGTAGTAAACTAGTGAAATAATTATAATAGTGGTTGTTGAGGGAAGGTGTTGCTTTATAAGTGAGCCCATTTACCAAATGAACCATAGAGATAATATAAAGAAATCATTTTTTCTGACAAAGATTTTGATCCAATTTGGGATCAGAACTTTTGAAAAAATTATTCTTGTTCTCTCATACTCACAATGGATAAGTCATGTTGACAATACAGTGCGCAGCTGTCAAAATATATTTTTCATTGATAACAGTTCCTCCACACATGAACTCGGGACCACGAGCTGGAAATAAAATATATCTGAAAGTTATTACCAGATTATACTTGCAGATGTTTCTTGTTCACACAGAAGGAGAACTACGCTGAAATCAATCGAGTAGTTCACCTACACACTGGTTCCAAAGTATTACCTCTCATGAGTGCACGAAAGATTCAATCTAACCTGCAGTGGTCGTAGACTCTAATGACTTCAACCCTGCTCGATTCCATGTGTGAAACCTTCGTCTAAGAAAAAGATATGTTAACCATTAACAACTCCATCTCGAGAACAAACTCCCACAAATAGGGAAGAAACATCACACGTACCATCACTCATTTGAAATCAAAATATATCCAATGACTGTATCGAGGAGAGATACATACGTATGAGAAAATGAATATTTATAAATAAAATTTCGAAACATTCATCTTTCCAAACGTTTTCACAAAGTACAATTACTTTCTTGGGCATCACGATGGTTACTGAATTAGCCTGGAAAGTAGTTGTTTTCTGGCAGGCATTTACCAGATCCTAATCTGTAGGAATGTTAGGAGAATTGAATAGAACTGGCCAATACTTGACGGATATCAATAATAAAACTAATAAATACAAGCTCTATTACGCCAACGATGCAAAATAAGGAAATCGCACAAAATGTCAAAATTAGGTACTTTTTAGGTGTGTTTTGGGTACTGAAGTCAAAAATTAGGTGCTCTGTAACTTACACCCCAACTCAATACTCAAAGTTGCGTTGCTAGTATTTTGTAATGCTATGTAATGCTATGTAATGCAATGAAAATAATAATGAAATAATGAATGTTAAGGAAACAATATCAGGTGCTTATTAAGTGCTAAACGGTGAGGATCGTAAAATTTTCTAATTAATAAACAAAAGTTTCCAATTTCGCTAAACAACAGATCTAAAAATCAGGTCTTTCGAAAACGTGGACGAATGCTCAATCATGTATAGACTAAGCGTGGTAATAAAGTGCTAATTAGGTGCTTGCAAGAAATTAAGATGAAAACGACCGTGAATGAGTGAAAAAAAAATTCAGGACACCTGATTTGAGAAAAAAATTAACAATATACAATAAAGTCTTGAAATGCTCGTGAACTCATACATAAACAATCAAAATAAAGTGCTAATTAAGTGCTTACTAGATATTCATAGTGAACCTACATTATATAATGCCTATGGGGCTCATGTACCTGAAAACCACCATGACCGATGTACTGAGTTTTTATAGTACTGTCCTCAATAAATAAGGGCAAGAAAATAAAGTGCTTATTAGGTGCTCACTAGATATTTATAGTAAATCCAGATTCCATAATGCCTATGAGGCTTATGGATCTGAAAACCACTATGCCTGATGGACGGAGTTCTTACAGTACGTTCCTCAATAAATAAGGGAATGAGAATGAAGTGCTAATTAGGTACTCATTAGATATTCATAGAACACCTGAGTTTCATAATGACTTTTTTTTCAAATAAAAAGTATGTTATTTTTGGCAGAAATCAATTATAAACATCTAATGCAAAACATTAAAATGAACAGTTCGAAAATAACTTTACAAAACGCTCAAAGGTGCGAAATCGTTTCCTCCTTTTCATAAACGAGGATGTATGCATCTCCAGTCACAAGCGATTTTGGTGAAATTGGTGACACTTGTATTCGTGTCACGTGCCATTATGAGGATGTCTGCAGAATGGTGTATAATGTCCGCTGTAGGTCGACCCACTGTGATTCAAAAGTGCATATAGATTATAGCGACAAGGAGTCACATTATCTGCTGCTTAAATGTTCATATCTAATCCATCTAGAGGAAATTCGATGGCAACATTTAACTTGCCTCTAAATCTTTCGGTTAGAGAAAATCTTTTGAAATGAATAACTGAAATATGGGGAAACTTATGGATCGATAGAGACTTTGTGCATTTTCTTCTTTCTTTGCAACTTGA